GACAATAAGCAGACAACAGATTTTAGCTTGTTGGTTTTTTGGAACCAACTCTTGCCATGTAACCCAGGCTGGCCCTGAACTCATGGCAATCCTCCTGGCTCAGCCTCCAAAGTGCTGGGATCACAGGCGTGCGCCACCACGTCCAGCAACAACAAATGTTTCTAAAGTAGTAGCCTGGCGTGGTGGCGCACGCCTGTGATCCCAGCACTTCAGAGGCTGAGCCAGGAGGATCCTCAAATTCCAGACCAGCCTGGGCTACACAGTGAGTTCCAGAGCAGTCTGAACTACATAGTAAGACCCCATCTCAATTCCCCCCAAATAATAATAATTTAAAAAATAAAGTAGTTTAGCTTTATTTACAGCATCTGTAAATTACGTTGAAATTCCACATTTTACACAGGATGTAGAGAAGCAATGGAGAGAATTGTATGAAGAAATGGAAAAAAGAAAACAGGAAGAAGAGGACAAGAAGAAAAAGGAAAAGGAGAGGGAACGAGAAGATGACATCTGGGGACTTTACGCAGAGGAAGATGAAGAGGATGAAGGGGATGTTGAGGAGGAACCAGAAGATGACAGGCAGATGCAGGAAGGTGGCGGTGAAGAAGCATTTCCGGGTAAAAATGGAGAAGCCCATGTTGACCAGAAAGATGAACTGTAACTAGGGGAAAAATAGTGATGCGCAGAAGCAAGGGATGGTGTTAGAAGGAGAAATGTTCACACAATTAGCAATATTTGGGGAGCAAAATAAGTTGGTTTTTTATTTTATTTTAGCGGTACCAGGGATTGAACTAAGGACCTTGCACTTGCAAGGCAGGTGGTGGCACCACTGAGCTAAATCCCCAGCCCTCTTGGTCTTTTAAAATAAAGTTAAATTTGTATTTCCACTCCACCTCTTACTCTATATAATCTTAGAAAAGTCACACCTTGGGACTAGTGGAAAGAGTGATAATTTCTATTTCATAAGGTTGTGGTAGGGAATAAATAAGCTAATAATGTGTGTAAAGTGCCTAATATAAATATACAGTCAAAATAGTAGCCACAACTGCTGTCATTAGTATGGTGTTTATTAAATTAATTGTTGGTAAATAAGCTTCTATATAAACTTAGCCCTAACTTTCAATTTATCGCACTACACCCGGGAATTTGTTTTGTTTAAATATCTATATTACTCAGTATTTACTGAGCAATGCTGATGGTTGTATTTATGCTCAGTAATTTTTTTCCCTCTTAAAATTGTGTTGAACAGATTAGACTTTGTTTTTCTTATTTTTGAGACAAGGTCTTACTATGTAGTTCAGGCTGGCCTTGAACTCACTATGTAGTCCAGGCCGGCCTTAACCTTACAGCGATCCTCCTGCGTCAGCCTCCCCAGTGCTGGGATTACAAGTAGGCACCACTATGCCCAGCTAGATTTCTTCTTTTTTAAAATTTATTTTTATATATTTATTTTTTTTCTAGTACCAAGGATTAAACTCAGAACCTTGTGCTCTTAGGGCAGGCAGGGTGCCACTGAGCTAAATCCCTAGCCCTTCTTTTTTTTTTAATTTTTTTTTTGTATCAGGGATTGAACTCAGGTGCTTGTGCTTGCGAGGTAGGTGGCAGAACCACTGAGCTAAAATCCCCAGCCCATCTTTTTTATTTTTTAAATTGAAAATGTTTCTAAAGTTAAAATTTTATGGTAATTTTTAAAAAAAATGTAAAAGCTCAGGTTTGGGCTGAGGATTTGGCTCAGTGGTTCGGCTGCTTGTTTTGCAAGCACAAGGGCCCGAGTTCGATCCCCAGTGCCATTAAAAAAAAAAATGTAAAAATTTTATGGTAATCTAAGGTGAATTTATTATTTTCATTCTTTTTTTATTACACTGAATATCATCTTCAAAGTAGTTTGAGTACAAAATATAAAGCAAAAAGAGACTTACAAAAAAAAGAAACAAACACAACAGAAATCTTATTTTTCATGAACTAAGATAAACTAGTAGTATAAATGAAATCAATTAGCATATATATGTGTGTGTATATATATGTATACATATATATATATATATATATGAATATTTTTAAATGAATGGAATTTGGAGTTTGGGGAAATATTTGAAATTTTCCTTATTTCCTATTTATATCTCCTATTTCATTCTTTACTTGTGTTTCTCATATAAGAGAAACTATGAGATATTTGAATTTGTTTCTCTGATTTCACTTAACATTACATCCTAACAGAAGGAAAAATACTTTGTGAGAGTCCTTTTGCTTCTCTGTTGTTTTGTGCCCTGATTTTTTTGTTTGTTTGGTTGTTTTTTTTGTTTGTTTGTTTGTTTTTTTGAGACAGGGTCTCCCTATGTAGTTGAGACTGACCTGGAACCCACTATGTAGCCCAGGCTGGTCTCGAACTCACAGTGATCCTCCTGCCTCAGTTTCCCAAGTGCTGGGATTACAGGCATGCGCCACCACGCCTGGCTTTGTGCCCTGATTTTAAAATAATTGTTGCTGATTTGCAAGTTGGCTGGTCTTGAATTTCAAGACCACCTACTCTTCAGTACCACCTATGCACAGCACGGATCACTTGCAGATTAGAAAGCACTTTCCCATGAGCTTCTACAAGGTGCCCCTTTAATCTTCACAGCAGTCATGGTGGAAAACACCATTATTATCTTCATTTTACAGATGCAGAAACTGCTCAGAGTAGGCCAGCCACTTGCTCAGGGTCTGTTATCAAGGGGTAGGCCCAATATCTGAATTCAAGTTCAAATGGATTCAAAACTTATCCTTCCACCACACCAGGCTATTGAATGAGTATCTGTTGCTATTGAATACAGAGTAGGCAACGTTCTACATGAATGAAATGGCCCTTTAAGTGTATTTTAAAAAAACACATCCAACAGTCAGAAAATCAGGCCCAGTTCAGTAAACCACAGCAAAGGGATACAAATACAAATCTGGAGCATAGCAGGTACTCATGAAATATTAATTGGAAAGAATTTACACAACTCTGCCTGGTGACTTCAGGGAAGATTTCATAGAGGAAGTGGCTCTTGAGCCAGATCTCAATGCATGCACAAATCTTTCCAATGGAAATGGGACCAGATTTCATAGTGAAAAAGGAGGGTCCCTGGATCAAAGGGAGTGGGACAGTAATGTTAGGGAGGAGCAGCAGAAATTTCTTCCTTCTTTCCTGCAGGCCGGTGCCCTCTCTAGTTCCTGGACCTTAAGAATCTTTGGAATATTCTGAATTGGAAAATGTAACTTTATGTTTAATTTCTATAGTGATAATCTTCTCATTGTGAAAAAGAGTGAAGCTTCAGGTCCTGAGCCTCAACTTCTTTTTCAGCTGGAGGGCTGGTGTCTGAGGTGATCTAAATTTGCAGAATGCTGGTTGGATATAGGCATTGTTTACTACAGATGTCTACTCTGATTGGTCAGGTGTATGCTTGACCAATTATTACATAGTTTTAGCGTTGCCAGATAAAGATAAGGACTGGGCATCAAACTCGGGACCTTGTGCTTGTGATGAGCTAAATCCCCGGACCTCACCTCAATTTTTTTGATGCTGCTTCTCCTATCTTTGTTAACTATTTTTGTTAACTTTTCTTTTGCCTTTTATTTTGACTGATTGTCCAAACATCATTTCAGAAATCAAGATAATTTTAGGGCTGGAGATGACGCTGAGAGGTACAGTAATGCTGCCTGCCTCTCAAGTGCAAGGTCCTGATTTCAATCCCCAGTACACCCCCAAATCATCTGATTATATATTTAATTTTCAGAAGTAATAAATGTCCATGCAAAAATTGTACTAGGGCCAGGTGTGGTGGCGCACGCCTGTAATCCCAGCACTTGTGAGGCTGAGACAGGATCGCTGTGAGTTCGAGACCAACCTGGGCTACATAGTGAGTTCCAGGTCAGTCTCAACTACATAGTGAGACCCTGTCTCCAAAAAGCTGCCCCCCAAAAATTGTATTAGGAAAAAAGCTTTCTTTATATCCTTCCAGTTTTTGCAATTATTTGTTGATTGGTTCATTTGACTTTGGGAATGTGACACTGATCTGTGACATCACTTTTAAGCTTTGTTTATTTTTTTTTCTCTTTAATTTCCTTTCCCTTCTCCCTTTATACAACTCAGTTCTATGATTGATTTTTTGTTTTGTGTTTTTTTGGTGCCGGGGATCAAACTCAGGACCTTGTGCTTGCCAGGCAGGTGGTGGAACCACTGAGCTAAATCCTTGGCCCTATACAACTAAGTTCTGTATAACATATATCTTTTTGTTTGTATATCTTCTCATAAAATGTGAATTTTATTTTGTATGAATGCATTTTTAATTTATGTAAAGATATATTATTTAAATTTCTTTTTTTTTTATGTTTTTCACTGAGCACTGTTTTTTAATAGTGTTTTCTTTTGACACACAGTCTCACTACATAGCCCAGGCTGGCCCAGAACTCATGGCAATCCTTCTTCCGCACCCTCCCAAGTGCTGGGATTACAGGCGTGCACCACCATGCCTGGCCTGAACACTGTTTGTGTTTATTTTATTTATTTATTTATTTTTCCTCATTGAGTTTATTGGTACATTTTAGGTATACAGTACAATTACATTCATCATTGGGATGTTGTACCCTTACATGACTGGTCTTGGTTCTCATTTTTTCTCCTTATCCCTGCCCTCCCTTCACCCCCTCCTCCCTTCCCTATTTACAACTCC